TTTTTTTTTTTTTTTTTTTGAACTCTGTGGATTCAAGTCAAACCTGATGAACGATGAAATCTTCTGGAAAAGGGAGGAGAGAACTTGTGGCGACGGTCGGTCCTATTGTCTTCTCTTCTTCTGCCAAAACAGAGTCCTCGTCTAGAGATAATGAAGTCTCCCGTGGATAAATAGATGGACACTCCTCGACCTCATCCAGAAATCGGAATCGGCAGGCAGGACGGTCAATATTTTCCTCTTCCTTTCTCCAGCATAAGACACGAGCCGCCTTTCTCATTCTTATACACCTGATTGCTCGCGGAAGATGAATCCTGATATTCCAAGCCCAACGAGTTCTATGGAGGTTCACCATGGAAGCCCTCCGCCTGATCCACGTATATTGCAAGACAATGATGTTGCAAGGTCTGGTTCTCTCCTAAGCTATGGTGTAAAGACACAAGTGGTTGCTAATAGTTAACATTTCGGCCCACAGTAATATGCAAGAGCAGTCTGCGGCCTTGGATAATGGCTCTGACGGCGGAGAACCATCGGGAAGCAATCTCCTGGAGGAGGTGTCGGCAGAGAGTGAGAAACTAGGCTCCTAGGAAGCTGCACGCAAACTTGTGTCGTCTCGAGCTAATAATTTATATTAAGACACAAAGAATGGCGACCCGAAGACTAGGACCACGAATGGCATGCTTCCGAGATCCGATCCTTCTGATATGGCCAGCCCTCCTAGAAAACGACGCAAACTTGACGCAGCAGGCTCACACATTTCCTGCTTTCCAGAGATCTATGGACAAGAGTTGAAAATGCGTACAGCTGAAGATAAACAACAGCCTGGCGATGAGCCTGACAACAGTCCCAATGAGAAGAACGAGGTCGAAGCAGGCAATGAGAGTGCAGATGCTTGACGAACGAAGACCCTGAAATGGTGACAACGGGCTGCAGAATCCAAATTAATTTCCGGGGAAACACACCAGGATCCCCGATCTACCAATAGGACCATTACCAGACATCGAGCCCGATTGCTTATGCCGATGCTCGTGGCAGCCCGCCCTAGGCTTGGACGATGTCCAATGTCTGTGTATTTGTACATTAGTTGGAGGTTGAGATTAGGTTGCGGGATAGCTCTTATTATCGTTCGGAAAATAATAAACTTGACTCCTCTCTTTTAGTCTGATATCCACCACCCGCCCCTGAAAGGTTCTTGCGCGCCAGGCCCCACAGTGATCAGAGCGAGACGAACTGACCGTTAACCTCTAACAATAACGTATGAAGTGCGGAGTGATGGTCTAATGAGTGTGCCCTGATGAGCTGTAAGGGAGAAACACATCATCACCTCCCCAGTGAGTGTATGTAGACAAGCCACTCCAGCAGTGTGGTAGTGAGCTAAGAGGCGAGGCCGCCGGAAGCAGCAGAAGCGTTCCGCGAGAAAAACAAATACGATATGCATGACGTTCGCCCTCCCCGTTCCGCGTAGTTCGTTATTGTTGTTCCGGGGAGACGGAAGCCAGCATCCCATAAGGCTCGTGGGCGTTATAGCACATGAGGTCCATTTAAAGTCTCGATCGCATACTTTGCATCCGTGTTTTCGGATTCCACAGATCGAGTTCCCAGTTCGCTGACTAGTGAGTTCCATGTCCTGTGGGATTTTCCGGATCCTTCTTGGCGGCGGTCGGTTATAACAACGAATCCTTGATAATAATCAGAGGAGGCAGTAATCGCTTATGTTTGTTGCGGCATCCCTTGCAGAAGTTCCGAGATCTGAAGATCGAGATGACAAAATATCAAGTTTTGCAGTAAGGCGCCCATTGAAGCTGTAGATTATGCCACAATCCGTCCTCTATGGGCGAAGCAAGACACTCTGTACGGATCTGCTCTCCCAATGACAGCGCCCCTGCAAAACCAAGCATTAAAACAAAGGCAGTACAAGCCCAGTGAAAATATGATCTGTGTACGGGGCGGATAATGCCCTCCGCGCCAATCAAATAACAAGTATTGATGGGATAGGTCACCGCCGTCGTATGCTAGAAAGCCTCAAGCAATTAAAAATGCGTAGTCCACACTACAATAAGCCCCTTTTGGCTTTTGTTCTCAGTAAAGGGAGTCAAACTGTCTGCACTTAAGAGTCAGGCATTTATGTGAATATCAGGGCGTGTGACAGAGGCTCGGCAGCCTAGTCTCCTCCATCTATCAGGAGATGTACTTAAATGCCCATCTTTTTGTTTCCTAACTGTCTTTGTTCCTCTTCATTCAGGCACTGCACAGCTTCGCCTTATCCCAAGGCTTCCCAAAAACATAAGGCTGAACCTCTTACTCTTTGATTCTTTGAAATATCAGACATTTCAACCAACACCAATAAACAAAGACTTGTCCCGAAAGGAAAAACATAAAAAGCCATGGGAGTTCCGCTCGACGGTGGGGAGAAGTGGGCGGCGGAGGAAGAAGAAAAGAAAAAAACGTAGGTCCCTTCGGTGATATAGCGTGTATGACGCGTTGCCATCGATGCTAACCATGGTATTATCAACTAGGTTGGAGTCGTTAAACAAGGCTATAGAGAAGCTGGATGACTCTGCGGCCAAATCCCAGGATAAAGCAGAACCAGGAGATATGAGACGCGACTTCACTGAAGCACCGTCTGAGCAGCCTGCTAATACTTCGGGGGAGGATGACGCGGACCAGCTCCAGGAGAGCCTCGACCTGAACGAGTTTGCAAGATCTCATGAGGACAGCGCCTTTACGCGTCATCTTAACAACTGGCTGAGGTTTCATGGTCTTGACCCAGAAGAGCTAACCACCTGATAGCTTCTTGTAAGTTTTAAGCGTGCCTTTGACTCTTTGATTTGGAGCGCGAAACCAAGGGAACGAGGAAGAAACTGATCTTGGCGTGGAGGCAGATAACGAGTTCTTGACCAGAACATCATTCTGAAGTTCATGATCCAACAGAGCATCTAGTGGGCCCAACCAGGCTATTATGCAAACGAGCTCGACACTGTATTGAGTTTTTGTGTGATCACACAAGTGATAGTTGTTTTGTTCCGTTGACGTCTTTTTACGCCGAGCGAAACTACCTTTATGTTTTCAAATTTAACCTATCCTGCTGAGCAGTAATGCGGTTAGCAAGGGTCTCGTCTATTCGTTGTTTATGTGAACCGGATTGATCTGTGATTTCAGAGAGAAGATTATGTCTCGTCATCGCCTCGCAATACCCAGTGCTTTGAGCTATCAGAGACAACAACAAAGAGCTGGTGACAAGGCATACGACTAAGGATGACGATACGAAGGATTTCATCATATTATGCATCGGAGAATGAAAATTGTTAGAAAAACTTACAAATCCATCAATGAGTGACCTTTATGTTTCTGTCTTGAAATCCATGACTGCAGCTAAGCTCTATATTCGGACGGAGACGACCATTCTGAGTGAACAACCCCGAGAGACGGGAATAAGTCAACGGGTATCAAGTTCATTCTAAGAAGTCAAAGCAGAAACTTCTCTCCCTCGTTCCTTTCATGCATCTTCATAACAGATAATTCGTCGTCGAAACTCGGTTGGTGGTTTGAGGGCCTGCGGTGTCTTTACTTTCGGTTTTTCATTTGGTAGTATTTTATTCAAAGTAGTTTGTGCCGTGGTATCTGTAGTTGTAATGGTTTGATTTGTGTGATTTGGTTGTTTAGGCGGTTTAAGATTTCCCCAATCTTGGTCTATTACATCTCGGGTATTGGAAGACGCGCTATTGGGTTTATCACACTTCTCTTCTTCACTCGTTTTCGGCGTAGTGCTTCCATTATTACTAGAAGCCTCCTTTTCTAGTTGCCTCTGGCGAAGAAGAGCCTGGATCTCGCTGTGACGAAATATTTGAATCTGTTCCTCCGTGAGTGTTCTTTTCACGCCATCGGGGTAATACCCCAAGCGGTCATCATATAAGCCATCATAGTCTGTGGATTGAGCTTCCGTGGTATCGAAAGAGCTTGCAAAGAAGTCAGAGGCTACAGTTGGGTTGAAGTCCTGGGTACTGAAATGTTTTGCATGGAAAGCAGATAAATCATCCTAGTGAAAGATTAGTTACCTAAGATTGACGCGGGGGTTTCTTGAACGACATACACATGTGACGATGGGTATATTCATAGTCATTACTGGTATTTGGTAGGCGCTTCGAGCTCGCGGGATGGACTCTTCAGCTGCTCATTCGCCTCGTGTGCCTGTTGTGAATTCTGGAGGCCGGCAGCAGGGATGAGGTCAGAATAAGGTCTCAGCCTTGGCGTGTAGTATCACGTGATAACTATAAAACGCGGAAAGGTTATAACTAAGCCGTCTCCAGGGTGATCGGGCCGCTGCGTATCAAAACACATCCTTGCGGCTTCAGGAAGCTCAAGTACGACAGTTTATTCAGTAGTTCGTACTACTAGCGGTACTAGAGGTATACGCTCAGAATACTAAATGTTAGGGAAAGTAAATACTTGCCTGATTTGAGTGCATGTGGTTGGACAGCTCATGGACTTCATCGTGGAGGTAGTCATACATTTATAAAGACCAGAAAGTGCAACTATCTGCAATATGTTGGCTCCAGGGAAGATCCATGCCCTGTAATCCCTTATAATTCCATATCTCGGAACGAGACGAGTGCTGCTCCAGAGTCTTCCCTTCTTAGACACCCTCAAGGCCTGCTTCATCAGTGACCGAGGCTAGGAGCGCTTCACTGTATATCTGATTCCCGATTTTTACTTTGACGTTATTGAATTTGATTATAAGGTCACGAGCCGGTAATTCTATGGATGTAAGTCGCTCTTTCTCGTCATCGGAAGGCTCTTCGAGCGTCCAAGCGATCGAAATATGGAAACAGTTGGTGTAATCGGTATCAATAGAAGAAGAAGATGATGATGAGTTACGCTGGTGTCCTTCTTGCCTTCCGTGTTTTCGTTTTTGCGTACCAGCCGGGCTCTCATATAAGGGTGGTTGACCAAAACATGCAAGACTGCTATTCGAAAGACGCAGTAATTGGTTCAAGCCATTATTTGCGGGGCGGTTCAGCTGAAGGACGAGAAACCACCTTGTGTTTTCAAAATTTGACACCCAGGCTAGCTTTTGGGGAGAGACTTCAAACCTAAAGGATGGGTAAGCAATAGAATCATCGACACAAGGCGGGATACTTACGGTTGGATTTTCGAGTTGTTCATGTAGTCACGAAACCGGTCAAGAAATGATTCTCGTTGCTCTGTCAAAAGAACCACAGGCCTGGAAAGACTGATGTGCAGCGGTAGTTGGGCACCAAGATCGCTGTAAAGGAAGCTATGAATAGCTATGCCGTTCCCTTCTGTGCTTTCACATCCTTTGATAATGTTGGATAAGACTCCTAGTTCGGTATTATTGGGGTACCCTCCAGCAAAAATCAGCAACGTCCGGAATATTCATGTCACTCCTAATCCTGTGTTTATATTTTTGGGTATTGGAAAAATCTACCTACACTCTAGGTAAATGTGAGTTGGCCAGTTACCAACTACATGGGGAATTGCCCTTGTCCTTCCATTGTGAAGGCTGGGATCATCTTGCACGCTGATTCTCGCGGATGTCGAGTACAAATCTCGAAATTCAGTAGGCAGTGGCGGCAAAGCGCCAGCGCGCCCTTGGGATTTTTGCGGCACACCGCCAGGCTCACGGCAGCGTCTTTTTGTCGATCTTGATGCGCTGCTGTCCTTGTCTTCCCGCCCGGATCCGCTTTCAGACTCTGTATCGGAGTATTGGACAAGAGCCATGGCTACTGGCCCTCATTGGGCAATCTGGGATTTGTTTGTTGAATGTGAATAGGTTTGCCACTCAGGCACGGCAACTAGACCTAGCCAGAAATCTGTTCCGGTTAGCCAGCGAGTCAAGTTGGTGGATTAGCGACGGATAACATTAACTAACTAATGGTTAGCCATGGCCCATGGAAATTTCCAACGAAACTAGCAGTGACTGCCACACCAGTTAACGAGTTATTTTACAGTGCAGATCAACTTCGTGACGTATACTTTATTAGCAATGATGCATGTGGAATTGCTTGTTTTCAAGGAGTAAACTACCGATCTCGCTACGTGGTCGTGTTATCAGCCGCAGCTGGACCTCCGTCTCTCTCAGCCGGACTGTCCTGCCACAGTGCACGACGTGGAGACCTAACATGTGTGCTTTTACCCTTCTGTATTTGATTAATGGGTTACGACAAGTGGTTGATCTATTAGTTATCCTAATGCTGCCACTCTATACACGGGAACATGGGCTATTATAGGCTGGAAATACCCTGTTAACGAGAGCGAACACAGCCCCATAACCAGTGACACGACTGGATAACCAATTTTTGAGTGCATAACTAAATCTCTGGCTTGCACTCTATATCCTTTCTGCCTCGAAACTCAGCTAGCCATGGATCAGTTTACCCTATGAAACCACGTCGTTCCTGAATTTACCGTTCTGATGCTGATTCATAGCCCCAAAAAAAAAAAAAAAAAAAAAAATTAGAGCGCTGGAGACCTGATAATCGCTATCGCTTGTGACTATTCACTTGGTATTGGTTTATAATTGCTATGTACAGTGGCAAAAATAATGCAAGGGACGGTGAAAATGGCTATATGCAAGCATAGAATACAGTTATACCCTGATGAATCACCTTGCTTCAATTTATTATAAAATGGAGATGAACCCTCTTGAACTTGGGAGAATATCCATCTTCCCATCTATTCATCCACAGTCTTGTTTCCCAATCCTTCTCCGGGTAAAGGATCGTTGAGCACGTCTGCGTTTACTTAGTCAACACTTGGTGAATACTTTTTTCGCTTCAATGTAGTATGTCTCATATGCACCTCCCAAAGTCCATTCTTTACTCTCTAAAAGTTTGTGGAATAAGTGACTGACAGTATCCAAGTCATATATTCCAGTTCCTTACTGGCGCGATCCGTGCACCTGATAAGAGCCATTATAAAAAGGGTGCCTTGTATAAAGCTGCTACAGCGCCAGAAACCCTTTTGCCCCATCAGGGGTTCCGAAACTCCCTGAAAGGCCAGGAGGCCTCTATCCCAAGTTTGTACAGCTTGTTCCCAGAGTGGTCCCCAAAATTGCACGAAGAGTATGAAAGAGCCCGTGACGAGGTTATCAACCCTTGGCTTGACATGTAAGCGCTCTTTTCTATGTAAAATTGATGTGGAACATTTTCTCACCAGAGTAGCTGGGTTGATGATCCGCAAACTTGCATGAAGTTGAAAAAGGCCGATTTTACCATCTTCGCAGCGATTGTCTGTGCGGACGTATCATTCGACAAGCTATGTACAGTCGCCAAATCATTTGCATGGGTTAGTATCGCTTGACTCTTGGCTCTTGAGACACTTGTAAACCATGCTAATTACTTGACATAGTACTTTATTTGGGAGGATCGTATGTATACCCCTAATTGAGAGGGCTATATGATAACTGATCAAGGATATGTGGCTTTAGAATTTGATTGCGGATCCCTGACTTATGATGCAAAAGGTGTAGCAAGCTACTTGAAAAAGAGCAAGGAGTATTTTCAACACCAACTGTTAGAGATCGGGGAACAACCGGACTTATCGAGATTTTCCCAGGAACAGCAAAAGGCTTTACTATGCTGGGATGAAGTTGGCCAACACATCCGCGAGACGTGTAGCAAAAGTAAGTTTTTCTATTCTTTTCCTTCATTGTACGAGTAAAAGCTTCAGACTTCGGGTCAGATTCTGACAGGGAGGATTATTCAGATGTGCGCGAAGTGTTTCTCGACAAGATGCTACGATACGTAGCTAGCGTTGACACAATTGACTCCATTTTCCAGGAAGGAAAGGTCCCCTCGTTAGCAGAATACTGGCAGAGGCGAAATCTTACGGCAGGGGTTTATCCGGTGCTGGCCACTCTCCCGTATGTGACTAGAGAATTTATACTTGCTCATGGGCCGAAACTAAGCGAGATAGTTTCGCCTACGATATTGATATCTCGATGGAACACTTGAAAGATCCAGCATTTGCGGCTTTGTGGAGACAGACATCATATGTTGTCCATATGTAAGTTCACGCATGCTCCTTACTGGTATCGGTAGGCTAAACGAAAGTATAGCACAAACGACATGCTATCTATGCGAAAGGAAGCAGTAAGTTGCTTTTCTTCAATTATCGTTCTCGACTCCCATCTAAGCTTTGCCACTTCTAGAGAGACAACCAAATTGAGAACCTTATCCCTGTCATTATGATGAACTATGGGTTGGACTGCGACACAGCAATGCAAACTAGCTTCCAGATGGCAAAAGATGAAGTCAAAGGTATACGTGTGGTAGAACGCATGTTCCAAAAGGGAGGCGAAAATAATAATCTTGAAATACCCGAAAGCCTCGCCGTCTCCTTTACTAAAGGGTGCAAGGACGTTGCCATGGGACTGATTCATTGGAGGTAAGGAAATATAACCGTGACCAGTCTGGCATGATTCTCACTAACATGTCGCAATAGCTGCGCTGGTGAACGTTATTTCAAACAGCAGGAATTCCGCGACAATAAGTCGGTAACCTTTAGAATATGATCCTCCAGCATTTCGATGGCGTTGGCATAGCCGTGTGGGTATTTTCAGAGACCATTATGGCTGGGTATCGATTAACAAACCGAAAATTAGTACGGCAGTGTCTCTGGGTAGATTTTTCATGTTAATGCTATCCTCTCATTGGTTTTGGCTGACACCTCAATAGACGTTATCTTTCTTTCCTTTGCTTTGATACTTTCATGACTTTCACTGACGTTGATTCTAACTGCTGAGTAATCACTTTAAATACACGTGATACCCACCTGCGGCTCGGACCATGGATGACTAAGCCTTGCTTGGCCCGTCACCTGGCCAATCATGTGTCAGGAGAGTCAATGACGTTGTTTTTGCTGATATACATTTCCCAATCCATGGACGCAACTTACAAAAAATTTCCTCAGTCAGTTGTGTCATTCCAGCCGTCGCGCTTACCCGACCTTAACGCAGATGGACTATGGCTCGGTCGATGACATCTTGGGGCAAGAGCAGTAGAGTTATGGCAAAATTTGCAGGCCACACTGCCACCCAGGCAGGTATAAAGCTGGCTCTGATCTCCAATTCTCCGATATTTTCTTCCACACCTATCCATACCCACTTCTCCTCAGATTACTAGTCACTGGCTATAACAGCTCTCCAGACTCATATACTATATCCTATACTTTCTAAAGCAAGCTGTTCTACATATTATAGCCTTGGCAATAGGGTTATTGCTCGAAAATGTGCCACAAGGCTATCCCTCCTCACCGTCGCTTCTTCGCTGCTCCTTCAGTGCTTGGGTTTGTGACTGAAGATGAGCCCGGGCGTGGGCGGCAGTTGCGCCAATCTGGAGGCCCTTCATCTGTCCGGCGTCAACGTTATGCCTCACCTGAGAGTGCGAGATTGCGCAGCGCTCGCTTGCATAGACAGCCGGACTCAGGTCCCGGGCATCTTACACCGAGCCCGCATATTCAGCCAGACCGTATTGATCGTCTGGACAATGTGGCTGGCCTCTACCACCATGAAGGGCCGTACGATCCTGTCACGAGAGAGAGGAACGCACTCCCTGACCGTGCTCCCGTCCAAGCGCTTCAGTCGTCAAACCAGGAAGCGCTCAATGCCACTTCGAACGACGGTGGTGCCGGTAATCTCTCCCAGCATTACCCATTAGGTGGAGATGCTGTTCCCCCTCCAGGATCCAGAGATCTTACCGATCGATTCCTCAGCTTCTATCCGCGTACCAACGTGATGGTTGAAGCCCCAGCGCATCTCCAGCGCCGTGCAGGATCTGTAAGTTTAGTTACCTTACCATACCTTCATACACTTGACTGTTAGCAATACAACTGGCTAATGTTGAACAGAATTACGGAGATGGCGATACGCTGATGGATCCATACTATAACCAGGATGACATCGAACGTCGTCGGCTGTTGCGCAAGCGCGCTAGATCTATTGAGCGTGAGGAAGCCGAGGCTGCAGAGTCTGCTTCCAAGAAGCGTGATGTTAATAGCCGCTTGTAGTCACTCGCTCCGTATCCCCTAGCACATTTGTCTGTTAACTGTTATTTGCTCCTTCCTTCCATCCACTTAGACATTGCATTGTATATTATACCTAGAAATATATTCGAGAAAGGGAAAAGGGGAAAGTTTAGCGTCCACGAAAGTTTTTACACCACTAGAATGTCAATACTTTGATATCCGAGTATGTAACGTACTTCCACCTGATATAATAAATGTTATAATAATAAACTCCTAAGTCAATAATTTAACTATCATCAAGATGTTGGATCCACATCTACGTATTAGCTGAATAACTACTCACCGCCCATAGAGTGAAACGTTTTGACTATAAAATCACATACTTGTTATTACTACACTGGGCATTGCTTGAAGGCTGCATAATGATAATACATCTCATCACTGAGTATATTCAAAGAGTTGGGAAAGAAATTCCGTATTATACAGTTATCATCACACTGGCATTTTTATACCAGCCTAGGAGGGGGTTCTCGCCATTCTTCGTTTGAGTGTCTTCTAGATATGCCCAACGCCTCATGAAGTCATCGTGGCCCGTTAGCCGTGTGAGTTTACCGGTGATCGCCCGATACACATCCTCCATTACATTGAAATCAGTGGGAAAGAATATATCAAAATATCCTTGATGAACCTGAAGAAAAAGCAGAGTGAGCATTATAACTAAAAATAAGTTGCAGAGATTACTTACATATGGGGTTGTTGCTTGAACATTCCTTCTTTGATATCGAGTTTGGACAACTGGAGCATTGAAACCTGGCACGGCGTCTGGGAGAGAGTTGAAGTCACTCGCAATAAGACGGTGGGCTGGGAAATAATCATGCAGAACATCGTAGAACTGCATTAGTCGAGTTGGAATATACTCTGGCAGTGTCATATTGGGCGCAAAAGGAAGCGCTGTCTGCAACTTGCGCCACAACCGGGGTCCTAGTGGGGTGGTAAACGGCCGGCGGGCCGCTGCTTGCCTAACACGCAGGAATCGAGCGGCTGAGCGATCTAAGTCCGGAACATAATATTCATAAAACTCCCCGTCAGAGTCTATGAGAACACATCCCTGCCTGGGCTGCCCAGTCTCCATGTCATAACGGATCACATCGTGACCAAAATTATCGAAGACTTCCAATGCTAGGAAAAAGCAGGGAGAGTGAACGTATGTATTCCAGTCGAATATCGACCGATTGATAATCTCAGCATGGCCGCCGTGGCCACCGGCATGAATGGAGTGATTGAGATTCTGTTGTTGCAGATTGGCGAGACTGCTCGAAATCTCGATGATCTTGTACTTCGTTCTTTGATATACATCCGGCTCAACATCTCGTATGTAGTCCAAAATATTGAGCATCATCGTACCATTTCCGGCTCCCATCTCGTAGATTATCAGGTCATGGTATGGAAAAAGTGTCAACTTATAGTTCGTAACGAGATACCGGGCGATAGCCTCCCCATAATAAGGGCGGAAGAGCTCAGTGGGTGTGTGCCACAACTGTCTTGTTTCATCGTAATTCGTCTCGTCAAGCTTATCTTCGAATTCCACGTATCGTTGGTCTAACAGTTTGTTGAATGTAGGCCCATCCTCGATGTTATTGAAATCGAAAGGTTCTCCAGGCGAAAAGATAGTCGCGTGCTTCGAGAAGTAGCCGTAATGCGGGTTGTATAGGCTGTCTAAAGAAGATGAAATTAGCAATTGACAGAATAGATTTGTTGAGCGGCGGTTGAAAGCTGCATGATCTCTTCAACTCCCGGGCCCATACCCTCGATGAAATCTCTTGTCAACATTTTCACTCTCCTCGGCCGCTCACGGCGGTTCCGCAATTCCACTGCGGTAACCAACGGATAATCTCTGAGCTCCTGCGACATGTCCTTCGGGAAATGGTCTATTCTATGCCTCCATATCGTGTCGTCTTCGTCTTCCTTTTTTCGCCGGCTCCCGAGCTTCCTGGAGGCATAGCGTGACTGCTGATGTCCACACGAACATGGCTGTAACGGGCGTCGAGCCCGCAATGGCTGGGAATAGGATAAAGACCGAGTCGCCTGATGCCGGAATAGCTGGCGGAAGAGGTGCGAGACAACCGGCGAATCCATTGCTTGTCAAAAGCAAAGATGGTTGTTTGAGCTCGAAGTTCGATGTTTTCGTTTCGGGAGGAGAGAACGAGATGGTCCGAGCTTTAATAACGTTAACTACTAACTAGCCATCCACGATTTCCACCACCACCACACAAAGAGTTAATTTGAACATCTTCAGATCTCTCTGGAGAGGATGGTGAAACGTCTATGAGGGCTGAGGCAGGGAGAGTAATATTATAGCCAATTCTTTTTAGGATGGAAGCGTCATCTCGCATGCCCATTTATGTGGCCGCTGCTTTCGCAACGGGAGCTATATGCACCATCGCAATTGATAGACTCCTTCGCTCTGAGGGAGTAATAAGCCGGACGGAGCCTGGAAGCAAAGATGCAATGAATGGACTCTCCACAGCCAACGGAATAGAATACCATGGACTCCCAAAGAAACCACAGCCTCCCCCAATAGTGGACGGCATTGAAGGATGCATCGGGAACACCCCTATGGTCCGTATCCGATCTCTATCAGAGGCGACAGGATGTGAGATACTAGCGAAAGCAGAGGTAAGATGAATGTTTCGTTTGCTTGAATATAACCCGTTATATTGTAACCGATTTCTAATTTTATTCAACAGTTTTTAAATGGTGCTGGAGGGAGCCCTAAGGACCGTGTTGCGTTAAGCATGATACAGGAGGTTAGGTTGAAATCTATTCCAAATCAATGCTTCTGTGCTAATACCGTGAACTAGGCTGAAGCGAATGGCCTTCTCACGCCATTTGTGGGAGATGCTATCTATGAAGGCACTGTAGGGTCTACAGGAATATCCCTTGCCACCCTGGCTAGAGCAAGAGGATACCTAGCACATATGTATGGAATCAATGATCATACCTTCTCTCTGGTAAAGTACATTATATTTACATATCTTACACAGTTGCATGCCATCGGATCAATCGACAGAAAAATCAAACCTGCTCCTTAAACTTGGGGCGGTCGTTGACAGAGTTACCCCGGCTCCCATTGTAGAAACGGGCCACTTTGTCAATAGGGCTAGAAGTCTGGCACATTCCCACGGAAAGGCGGCACAAACTTCGCGTGACTCTTCGCCATTTGAAAAGCCAAATATAGAGGCCATGACCTCAGATGCTGCTGCTAAACAAAGCCGGGGTTTCTTTGCAGACCAGTTTGAGAATTCTGCCAACTGGCAAGCCCATTATCGAACGACAGGGCCAGAAATCTATGTGCAGTGCGAGGGTAAGTTGGACGCATTTGTTGCGGGCGCTGGAACGGGAGGTACCATTTCTGGAGTTGCACGGTATCTGAAACCTCGAGTTTCGAACATGACCGTCGTCCTTGCGGACCCTCAAGGCAGTGGACTGTATAATAGAGTCCGCTACGGAGTGATGTTCGATACAAAAGAAAGAGAGGGTACAAGGAGGAGGCAACAAGTCGACTCTATTGTGGAAGGAATAGGGATTAATCGAGTCACTGCAAATTTTGAAGCTGGCCGAGAGCTAGTGGATGACGCTGTGAGAGTCACTGATGCACAAGCCGTTGCTATGGCACGTTGGCTGGTGGAGAAGGATGGTATATTCATTGGCAGCAGCAGTGCTGTAAATTGTAGGACATTCCTTGCCATCATACATACTCTGACTGGAGGTATTAACTCATTTATCTGCACAGGTTTTGCTGCCGTTAAAACGGCCCTAAAGCTAGGCCCTGGCCATAGAATTGTGACAATCCTCTGTGATTCAGGAACCAGACATTTGTCAAAGTTTTGGGCGGAGGCGGGCAACGTTGGAGGAGCCATCGGCACTAAGCTTGAGGACGTTCTTAACGCTAAGGAGTGAAGAGCAAGCGACATCATATGATACCAGGCTGCTCGTTGGGTTATCAGCTACCTCGGCAGTTACCGGTTATTTTCATGAAGATTGGGGCCAAATTGTGCCAGAAGAGGACGAATTAGACACCACCTCTTTGTACAACAGCGCTCCGGGTCTTACCGCTTGATAAGAGGTGCTTCTTTGGTGAACCAGAAGCTCTTGGTGGCGTGCTGATCTGCACACTAGACAAACCAGAGCTATGCCATGCCCTTTCGAAAGCCTCGGATAGAGGATCAGGACTTTCTTCCCGATTGTTTGTACCTTCAGCAGCTCCGAGTGGAGAATCTTCCACTGTCAGATGCGCCGAAGAGTTATTGGAAACGGTTCTAGGCCGTAGTGGGGAAGGAGTTGTGACAGAAGGCCGAACTGGTGTTTGAAGCAATGAATCCTGCGTAAATGGCCGCTTTTTTGCTTTTCTAGGAGTTTTTGAATCGACCCAACTTTGCCAGATCGTTTCTCCTACGCAAATCTTGACCCATTCATGCTGTATATCCACTAAGTTCCTCGTTGGAAATTTAGATTGTACAGTATCCCATGAATTTTCAGTATCTAGGTTGAGAGATGCAAGCGCCTCTCGATCTGAATCCGTCCACGTTAATGAGATAGATAAATTGCCACTGATGTGTTTACAGTAAGCATAATACCACTGTCGTAGTTGAGCTGGTGAACGCGAAGGAAAAGCCAGGGACACTTCGCGCCAGGGCTTCCGTTTATCTACCCGTAAAGTGACTAATGTTTTTACCTCCCGAGGGGTGAGATTTTCCGATGAGCCTGTTGGAATCATTATTTCAGCACTTGGGCTTCCATTAACGGAGCCCAATTCGGGGCCTGGGGCTGCAATAGGTGTATCGACGGCCAGATCGGGCTCACTATCAGGATCTATAATGGGTTGATGTGTTGGAGTCTCGGGGTTTTTCTTCTTGGTAGCCACAGGGGTATCTATGGTAACATTGGCCATTGTTTCCGGTTCACTAACAGTAACACCATGGGCAGAATTTTCCGCTATAGTGGCGGTTGGGTCGTTTTGCGGTGGAATATATATGTCTTTA